CCTATTTCATTATGTCTCAAAAATACAAGGAATAGGATTCAGGGTCTCAGAATCCGTACCGAGTAAATCAAAAGACATAAATCCATAAATAGGAGTTTGTTAAGAACTCAGGATTAAGATCATCCTATATATGACCATCGGTAGACTCAATTAGAATTTCAATGCTTTAATGGAAATTATTAGAAATTCATATTGTGTATGGGTCCTTGTTCCACATAATCTTATTATGCGAAATACACTCATTCAATATCTCGCCATATTAACAGTGCAGATAACACCGTTCCATTCTAAATGGGAATGACATGTATTAATAATGTTTTAATTAAAGATTCTGAACTTTAATTAAATTCATTATGAACAATGTTTTTGATTATTATCCTTAAACACTATCCTCTCGTATATAACACTTATATACTATGTTTAAGGTTACATAAACAATCACAGAATTTTCGTTTGATATTCATAAAATATTCATACATATATGCACATAAAATGATGAATAAACTCTTTTATTAATTAAATAATAAATATCCTATTACATCTCATGCTTCTAGGACACTATTCCCAACACGATCACCGTCGTTGTACAAATGCAACTCCTTGCGCACCCCCATATGTTGCAGATCGATTCTCGCATTGTCCGTATCTTTACTTTTTCCGTCAATTTCTAGAATTGTGCCCAATAAGCTGTCGCATACATTCTTCTCAATATGCATGACATCTAAGTTGTGACGTAACGATAATGACTTCCAATAAGGTAACTCCCAAAAGATACTCTTCTTTGTCCAATTAAGCTCGCTTGCATGTCTTTTCCGCTTCTTACCACCATACTTTTCATGTTTACCAGGCAATCTGAGGGACACATTTTGTAATTGAGCTAAGATTTGGTGAACAGATTTTTGAGTCAGTGGAGGCGTTTCTCAACCATACCATCAAACTTTTTATTTTTTCTCATCACATGTTTAATAGGAAGCCATTGCCGATGGCCAACAAAACAAGTCTTACTTGTTATCCTCTTTGAAGGGGTTGCATCGTTGCAAGTTGGGCATGCTAAATAGCCCTGACCACTCCATCCAGATAAACTACTACGAGCAGGAAAATCATTAACTGTCATGAGCAACATAGCTCGCATCTGAAATGATGTATTCGAAACTGCGTCACGTACAATTACTCCTTCATTCTACAAATCTTTTAGCTCATCCATAAGGGGCCTTAAAAAGACATCCATATCCTTTCCGGGTGCATTTGGGCCAGGAATCAACAATGTCAACATCTTATAAGGATCCTTAGTGCATAACCACGGAGGTAAATTGTAAGTCGTTAAAACCACCGGCCACATACTGTATGAGAGGCTCATGTTTCCGAAAGGATTGAAACCATCAGCGGCCAACCCCAAGCGAACATTTCTCGACTCACGTGAAAACTCAGGATACTTTTCATCTACCTCCTTCCATTCAATACCATCGACTGGATGACGCATTAAATCCTCATCATTTGAACGCCCACGCTGGTGCCACATCATATCTTTAGCTGTGTAACGAGAACCGTACAGACGCTTCAACCGATCTGTTAACGGGAAATAACGTAGTACTTTCCACGGCACTTGTTTAGTACCCTTTGTCTTTTTTTTCTTCCAATGGGATGTTTTACATATGGGACACGTTTGTAGATCAGTGTTCTCCTTGCAAAACAAAGCACAATCATACTTGCAGACATGAATTGTTTCGTAACCCAGTCCAAGTTTACTCATGAGCTTCTTCAACTCATAATGAGAAGAAGGTAACTTCACATCCGGGAATGCATCTTTCAATAGATTTAACAGAGCATCCATACACTCATTAGGCCACTTGTATAACACTTTTAAATGCATCAATTTCACTAAGAAATTTAAAGATGAAGACTTAGTGCAGCCCGGATACAATCCCACCTGGAGCTCAGAAAGTAGATCTTTAAATTCAGCGTATTG